CCATAGCAGTTCTATGGCATTCTTACTGTGGATGGAATAACCAAAATTACAGAAACTCAAGACTAAATGGGAACTCATTCCTGTTAGGGTGGGAGTGAAATCTCTGTTCTCTCAGAGGTCTTCTCCTCCCCTGTGTATTTAAAATATTATACAATAGCAAACTTGAGATAAATTTTCCTTCCTGAGGGAGGAGGATATCTGTTATGCAGAGAGGCTGGGCATGATTTATGTCATTTTTTGCCTTCTGCCTGTATATATCCCTTGCTTTCCTCAAATTAAATGGACTTAAAATACATTAAAAGAGAAAATAAATCAACATTTGTTAGAAAAAGTTCAAAGTGTGTGGATTTTCAGAGCGCCAAAGTGATGTTAAATGCAAAAATCTCAGACATTTTCACTGGGAATGGGATATTTAAATGCCCCGCTTGCCTTTCAGAAGGTTTTATCTCGGGGAAAAGTTTATAGCTCAAGATAGTGTCCATCTCCTAGGTCAGAGTTTCCCAAGAGAAAGGAAAACTGCAAACTTCATTTGAAATTATCATATTTCAGACCCTGTCCCTTAATTCTCACAGACAAAAAAAAAAAAAAAAAAAAAGTTCATGGGAATCATGCAATAATCCTGTTTGCATTTTTAGCTGTTTATCATTATCTGATCCAGCTGCTTAAAATGCAACTATATATATAGATATATATTTTTTTTCCAGTGATTTCATCATAAAACAGAGAGCAGAGCAGGGGGAGGTATTTAGATCAGCAATAAAATGCTTTTTATATATGTAGCTGCTTTCCTTCTCTGGGTGGGGATTAGATTCTTCCATATCAGCATGCTTGTAGACTGCCAAAGTATCAGAGTTGTATTTAAGAACTAAAAATAAAATAAATAAATATAACAAAACAGAGAAAAATTAAGTAAAAAAATGTAAAGCCCTCCTTAACGAGTTGCCTCCCAATTTCCTCGCTTATGGGAATAATATAACAATCTCTATTTTAGAAACTTGCTTCTAAATGTTTTTGGATTTTTTTTTTTTTTTTTTACTACATCTGTGGGATTGTCTCTGGTTTCTGATGTCACTGGTTTTCTAATAACTTGAGGATGAAATTCAGATCCAAAGGGAAATTGTAGTGAAATACAGAAGTGTAAGATGATAATCTAAATACAGCTCCAGAGAGAGAAAACTGAATCAGCAGCACAGTAGTCTGAGTGGGTGATTGGTATCTTAAGTTCCTTAACGGGAGACCTGATATAGAACTGAGGAGCAGGGTGCTGTTATTGGGTAAAGTTGTGCATGAGTAGAAATTGTCAGAGGCTTATCAGCATTTGATATGTATAAAATATAATGGAACAGCTGCTTGGCAGAGTTGTTTGCTGTTGGGTTCAATAGGATGCAATAGAGAACCCCTGCTATAGCTATGCATTAGCTTTGAAATAATTTCCTAGTACCTGACTCAGTGAAGCCTGCTTTGCCCTGTGTCTGCTTTTCCTAGATGAGCAGAGCAGTGGAAGGGATCACACCATGGCCAGGGCACTGCATGGGCCCAGGGAAGCTGTGGCACTCAGAACTGCTCTCCCTGCCTGCCGAGTCTGCTTCTGCTCCACTGCTGCTCATGTCATGCTGTCCTGCAGTCTGAAAGTGCAGGGAAAGAGCATCAGGTAGCTAGAAGCTGTACGCTGTGCAGAAGAAGAGAATCATTTCAGGAGTTTCCTGTTGGGTGTGTGATTTCAGCAACTCATAAATCTGTGCGGTGACAGTGAAGCTGTGGGAAGTGAGCAGGGTGCGGATGCAGCAAGCTACTGAGCCTTGGATTACATTCTGCTTCATTTGATGATATAGATAATTGTTAAAAAAAAAAAAAAAAATTACATTGCAGAGACAAAGATGAAGAGAGGTTCTTTTTCACAGTGATTTTCTTTGCAGAAATTGCTCTAGTGGCATTTCCAACATCGTGCTACTTCTGTGGAATAAGTGGCTCAATTGCTCCCTGTCCCACTAGAGATTGTGTTCAGGAAAGAGACACATTTTTCTTAGCTAGACCATAGGCACAGGGATGAAATGCACAGTCTGTCTCCATTACCACATTCAGTTCCATTTCAATATAAATAAGAAAACTGCCAGCTGCTTTCCAGATATACAGTGGCCCATTTTGCAACAGGTATTCAAACTGCCCCATTGTCCCTTCTCTTGAATCCACTTGTAGCTGCAAGAGTTAAATGGAGGGGCTAAGCTTACAGGTCTGAATGAACTCTTTGCTCCTCTAAGCCCTACAAGCCACCCAGCAGCATGCCTGCCGGCTGATCGGAGGGCTCCGGGAAAGCGCCTTCTGTCTCTCTGACTTAATAAAAACACTGAGAATATCCTGCTGGGAAATTGCTACCGTACCATTTGCTCAGCTGCAGATCAGGAATTGGTGTATCCTGAACTTGGCCTTTTTGTGAAGCTGAAGGTTTATCCTGGGAGGAACAGATATATTGCTTCAGTGCAGTTATGGCACCCAGCGCCTGCTAGCAGACTGGTTTTTGGTTAACCCTGAATTGTGCATTACTGTCCCCTCCTGCAGCTTCTCACATTTCCCAGTCCAAAATGAGGCCAGTTTAAAATAAATACTTCTTGCACGTGATGAATTTACCATTTTCTATTAACAAAGTGAGAATCAGTGCAGATTGGATGTATTTGTTGTTTTGGTCAGAAAAGCTACATAAGATGACTTGTAATTCCCTAGATCTTTCCAACAAGGCCATTTCAGTAGAATTTCCTCAAAGCTGCTACCAGCGCCTTAGATTCACATTATCACTGTGAGCACTTAAGTTAGCATGGTCTCCACGGCAAAGCTCTTAAGAACAAGGCAAAGGGCAGGAGGGAAACCAGACGGAAAATAACTTGTTCGTGCTGCTACCCAGTTGTGCTAGGATGGGGACCCGCAGAGCTCACACAGTCTGAAAAGCCCCGGCTCATGCCCCTGTGTGATTTGGGTTACTGTTGCTCCAATCATTCAGCTGCAGATGCCGTCTCACCAGTTCCCAGGAAATATTTAATTAGTTATACAATGCAGAAGTGGCTCCCAGAGGAAAATTTCTCTGCAAAACAGCCACCAGCTCCATGTGAAAGCACCCAGTGGGGCTGAAGGACATCTGGGGCTGAATTCTCGGTCCAAAACAAAGGGGAAGGGTGTGCTGCTCTCACACTGTGCCCTGGACATGGCCCCCTCCCTCCCACTGAGGCCCAGGAGAGCCTTTCCTACCATAAGCTGTATCAGTAGATACTTGGTGGACTTGCCAAAGAAGAACTTCGAAACCAGTTCTCTGAACTCCTCAGTTGTGAGTAATCACAAAGGCCAGGTTTCTTGTGGTTTTTAACAAGCTGGAATAGCCAGCCCTCCTTTTTGTGGTGTACCTCTGAGATCCCCATTAGGGCTGTTCTAACTGAGGGAACTGTGGGACAGCTCTGCTGTGTCCCCTGGCATGGGATAGTAATGCCTGCTGTGGTCTGCACTGCTGGGATGCCGGAGCCAGCCCTAGTGTGCCCCAGCACCAAGGCTGGGCCACCGTTGGCTGAGAAGCAAAGGCATCCTCTGCTGGGATATGACCAGCAAAGTGAGCAGAACATCACCTTAAGCAGAAGCTGCAGAGCCTCATTTCTCTCAGTAAATACCCTAACTTTTGCCCTATTACTCATTGCAGTGTGTACTCTCAGTGTCCTCCCTGGGGATACAGCACTCAGCCACCTCCCCAGAGAGTTGCCAGGTGCCCATGGGACAGGAACTCCCCAGGGTCACCAGAAACAGTCATGATGGTTATTTTGCAAATCTGGAGATTTGGAATGAGTAGGATAAACCTCCCTCCCCTTGCTTCATTTCTGGCTAGGGACTGTGGGGATTTGCTCTCTGTCCTTTCTGCCAAGCACAGCTAACCTGAATTCATTCCCTAGATCCCGAGTGATAATCACAGCACCACTCGCAGTCCTGAAACTGATGATCACTTGCACTGAAATAAGCCCTTTGGCTAGAAAAAGGTCTCAGTGACCCTAACTTGCAGCTCAATCCTGCTTATGGTTGTGATGTTGCAGCTCAAGACTATAGCAATGGGAAAGGCTCATGGGGATTTTTTCCAGTTGAGAAATACTCAGCTGGATGCTGGCCTGTGACCAGACTGGACAAGCTGGCCAGGACAAGTGGCTGGACAAGCCCATGGCCAGGCAGCAAAGATAGAGAAGCTATGGACAACAGGCTCTCAGGCTGTAGGTACCATAGAACATAGCACAGACAGAACACCATTCAGCAGAGATTCTCTTTGAAACCCATCTTTCAAAAACAGCCTGCGCTGATGTGCAATTGGCCTGGTACCTCCCAAGCAGAATGCACAGGACACTCCTAGTTTCCAGGTGAGAACAACTTACTGTCAGGCCACCGCCCATCCCAGGTGGCAGCCACTGCCCAAACGAAGGCAGAAGCTGAGCTCAGTCATCCACAGATGGCAGATCTCAGTAGGGATGGCAGGGTCTTCTGGTCATGGAGCTCCCAGGTGGGAGCAATGAGAAGAGATTTGCTTTTTCCTCCCCTCCCACTGCCAAGTGCAAGGAGTGAGTTAAAGACGTTGTCATGACACAGCAAGCAAAAATCTCGTGATTCAAAAATAAATGAGAGTTCCTTTCATTTGCTTTCATGTATATTTAGAAAGAGGGCCCGCATTTTGAAGTTTTTCCTCTTCTGTACAAGAAATAGAAGTTGCTGATCTACAGAGTAGAGGAAATAATGAAACTTGCAGAGCTGAAGGCTCTGGGTACTAAAACAGGACTAGCACATTCTCAGAAGAAAAATTATTTCCTTTTAGCAAGAATGCAAACAGGCACCTTTGGAAACATTTCATCTAACTTCTTCATATTTCACTTGGAAAACATTAGAAAATTTCACTTTGGCACAGCAAGAAGAGAGTGTGGTCAGCCAGATCTGGTGTTACAGGAAAACAAGGAACCACAAGGCAGGTGGATGTCACTGAGACATGCACCATGACCAAGCTGTGGTACGACATCCTCCTCTCTAAGGGACATGGCCCATCTCTTGGGGCTGGGGGCAATACTACCCTGAGTCAGCTGAGCAGCAGATGGGTTTAGTAAAAAGCAAATCTGGGGGAGCAGAGAAGATGGGGGAATCGTTGTAACTAGTAGCTATGAGAAGAGCAAAAGGAAGGAGCAATGAGTGAGGGAAATGGGATGGATGAAGGGGTGCTAGGAACAGCTGAGGAGAAGATGGAGAGCACAGCCATGGGGAACAGGGGGCCTTGGGGCAGTGCAGGCAGACAGGACCCCAATAGGTATGGGCAGGGGAAGGTGCTGAGGGACCAGAGGTGCCTGCAGCCAGGAGCCAGGCAGGGTGATAGGAGAGCCCTGGGATGCCAAGCATTCCCCAGGCCCCTCCACCATCACCCCCTCCCTGCTGACACTGTCTCTGTCTTCCAGGTCAGTGAATAATTTCCTGATGACGGGCCCCAAGGTAAGAGAAATCTCTTTGATCTCTGTCCTTGATCCCAGGGGAGGGAAGGGGGGCTCCTCCTTCCCACTCCTCTCCAACCAGCTTTGGCCAGAGCTCCCCTCAACGCCATGCACACAGCAACAAGGCAGGGGAGGGCCAGGGATGTCCTCCTGAGAGCTCTGCAGGCTGCTGCAGCCCTCAGCAAAGGGGCTTGGGACTCTTCTAAACTGATTGGGTCAGATTGTGGAAATGTGTCTACTGACCCCAACTGCCAATCTCACCTGTCATCCATTGCTTCCTGCTGACCAGCTCAGCATTAGGACCCATGTTCATCCAGCTGGAGGAGCATTTGCTGCAGGCCCTGCAGAACACACTTTCCCAAGGAGCACAGCTAGAACTGCCAGGGCTTCATTCAGTGGTTTTGATTCCTCTCCTCCTTGCACCCCTTTTTCAGAGCCTTTATTTCCTAAGTAGGACCGGCTGCAAAATTCACCTCATATTTTTGTTTGTCTTGAAAAAAACATCTTCAAAAAACAAATCCTCTTACACTGTAGAGACAAGGGGTTCCCTCACTGCAGGGCTGGCTAACACACAGCTCCTCACATGGCTAGCAGCCCACAGCTCCACTTGGCCTTCTCCCTCCAGGAGGCTCAGCCTCCGAGGCAGCACAGCAGAAAATGCACTTCCTGCTGCTTTTGGCAACCAGTAGACCTCACAGAGCTAAGCTCAGGCAGCCCCCTCAGCTGTGCACATCTTGTCTCTATAGATGGTACATGAGTCCTTTTGCAGCTGACTGCCAGACTTCTGGCAAGACTGGGGCCACGCTTCTCAGCACACCTAGACCCAAAGACAGCAGGACCCTCAGTGCCAGGCTGATGCTATCCCCATCTTGATCCACTGCTTTGCTTTCTCCTAGGCCTATCTTATCTACTCCAGCAGTGTGGCTGCTGGGGCACAGAGTGGCATTGAGGAGTGCAAATTCCAGTTTGCCTGGGATCGTTGGAACTGCCCCGAGCGGGCACTGCAGCTCTCCAGCCATGGCGGGCTGCGCAGCGGTAAGGAAAGCATTGGATACCACTACCGGGACCCACTTGCTGCAGGTTAGAGCCCAGCAGCCCTTCCTCTCTTCCCAAGTGCCTCCTTTCTACCTGGGCTGTTCCTCTTCTGGGGCAGGCTGGGCTGTGGCCTGGCAGAAGGCAAGGCTAGAAGGGGATGTGGGGAAGACCTTTGACCCTTGGAGAGGGCTTCTTCCTCCCTGGTATGTATCAGTGAGATGTGGGGACATTTGTGCATCTGTGCTGTATAACCACTGGTGAGCATGATAGCCAGGTGCAAAACTCATCCTCACCCTTAGAAATGGCACTGATTGGTCTGGATCAAATCTGGGAACTTCCATTTTCATGCAGTTCAAGCCAAAACTAAGCTCATCTGACCTGTAGGACCTCTTTTCCATCCAACACAACCCTGCTCATTGCAAACATCATCTGACTCAGTCTCATGCATGGTAGGAGCCATTCTTAACACCAGTCTTGCCATGAAATCTTTAACATGTTTGCTCTCCTTGTGTTTCCGCTCGACAGCAAACCGAGAAACTGCCTTTGTCCATGCCATCAGCTCTGCAGGTGTCATGTACACACTGACTCGGAACTGCAGCCTGGGGGATTTTGACAACTGTGGCTGTGATGACTCCCGCAATGGGCAGCTTGGTAAGGAGAGACAAGCGGTTCTCCCACTATTCAAACCCTGGACTGCTGAAGGAAGCTCTCCTCCATTATTCCACCAGGATTACTGTTAGGAAAAGCAGGATGGCATCTATAGACTTTTTGAGTATTCATCAGTATGTTGGGCACACAAAAGCACAGTTATGAGAACTGCTGTGGCAGCGCCCAGCATTCATCTCATCCCATCCCTGCAGCCACTGGACAGCCTTGGTGGGGAATTCCAGGGCTTCACCACTTTGACTCTCCCCTCAGAGCTCATGCAATAGTGAAGTGTGGGCGTTTTGGAAGGAAAAATTCAAATTTCAATTTATTAAAATCTTTTAAAAGCCTCTCCTTACTCAGCTGTACTTGGCAGGCTGTAGGTGTCAATTTGTCACAAATTCCACTGGAGCGCCCAGTATTGTGTAATTTGCTTATTGGCTAACAGTTTTTACAACAGCCACTGCTTTGTAGGTGTCTGAGGCCTGGGATGGACCATCTCTCAGACCAAGACTTTAGGAAACACCGAATTTTATTTGAGCTAGTCATGCTACAATTTCTTTCCTCATATTTGTTTTTCATGAAAATTTTCCAGTGTGAACTTAAAGCCTTGACAGGCAAAGGAAACTTGTGTGTGTCCAAAACATCATGGTTCAATTCCAAATATCACTGTGCTGACTCTAAGCTGCTGTAGCCGCACTGGGTACGCATTTCTATTCTCCCTTTGGTATCCACTGCAATCACCCACCTTCCCATCAGAAGCACCGCTGCCTTTCCCTGCAAGAAAGAACCAAGGCAATGGCATGGCCTTGCAGGGACAAAAGGCACAAGACCAATTAAACCACAGTGCCCATGATGCACCACCAAGGCACACAAGGGTCAGAATATTTCAGATTTCAATTCTTCCCAGAGCATTTGGTATTTTTCTCTAGGAAAAAAGAAACAGCATGATGTGTTTCCAGGCAGCTGTGCTAAATTATCAAGCCTACACTAGGTTAGAAAAAATACTTTCCACAATTTCCTGTATAGTTTCCCAATCTGTGCTGACTCCCTTGTTCCTTTATGATAATTGGAAAATCAGAGTCTTCTGAGATGCCCAACATCAGCCTGGGATTTTGTGTATGTGTAGGGCCTCCTTCACATAGGTGTACCAGGGCTGGGCAGTTTTTCTGGTGGAGGGGACTCTGTTCTCACTAATCAGGATATGCGCTTAGGGCATCCATTCCAGCTCTAAGGATTCTTCTCTGATTCTATGCACACATGGACCACTTATTGCCTAAGCCTGAGTAGAAATGGCACAAGCCCAAGGGGAGGGAATCTGGAAATACCACTAGGCAAAGGGCTGGCTTTGTCCCCCAGCCTCCATTTCTTCCATCACTGCTGGCAATCACCCTTTCCCTCCTTGGGGGCCACAGCACAGAGAGGAACTCAGTCCCTAGCAGCACACCTCTTATCTCGTTTCCTAGGAGGGCAAGGCTGGCTGTGGGGAGGCTGCAGCGATAACGTGGGCTTTGGGGAAGCCATCTCCAAGCAGTTTGTGGATGCCCTGGAGACTGGACAAGATGCCAGAGCTGCTATGAACCTGCACAACAATGAGGCAGGAAGAAAGGTGAGCCCCCTTCCTCCTTCCAGACCTGGAAGCACATATTTGATGTGTTCTGGCCATTCACTATGGAGTCTCACTACTTGCCCTGGCTAAGAGCATGTGCAGAGTAGAAGCAATTATTTTGCTGAGGAGAGAGGGAGCAAGGTAGCAATACTGGTAGCGTTTGTCCTAATATAGCAAACCTTCCGTGCTTACCCTGCTAACTCCTTCCTGCTGCCCTCTTTCTCCCTCTTCAAGAAGTAGAACACCTTGGAGAAACCAATGTAGACCTTCAACCAACCCCCCCTGGGCAGGTCTATTGTACAAGGAGGGGCCACAGCAGGCCCCTCCACAATTATAAACCAGACTTATCCATAAGCTGCATCACAGAAATGACCCTTGTGACCCCTCTGGGCTTCTTCCTACATCCCCTCTCTTTCGTCATCTCACAGGCTGTCAAAGGGACCATGAAGCGGACTTGCAAATGCCATGGCGTGTCAGGAAGTTGTACCACACAGACCTGCTGGCTGCAGCTGCCCGAGTTCCGCGAGGTGGGCACTTACCTCAAGGAGAGGTACCACAAGGCCTTGAAGGTGGACCTGCTGCAGGGGGTGGGGAACAGCGCTGCCAGCCGGGGGGCCATTGCTGAGACCTTCAGCTCCATCTCCAAGAAGGAGCTGGTCCATTTAGAAGACTCTCCTGACTACTGCCTGGAGAACAAGACGCTGGGGCTGCTGGGCACAGAGGGCCGGGAGTGTCTGAAGAGAGGCAAGGCACTCAGCAAGTGGGAGAAGCGGAGCTGCCGGCGGCTGTGTGGGGACTGTGGGCTGGCCGTGGAGGAGAGACGGGCCGAGATGGTGTCCAGCTGCAACTGCAAGTTCCACTGGTGCTGCGCTGTGCGGTGCGAGCAGTGCCGCAAACGGGTCACCAAATACTTCTGTGTCCGCAAAGAGAAGCGGGAGCGGAGCGGGGGTGGCGGGGCCAGCCGCAAGCTCAAGAGGAAGCTCTAACTGCCTCCTGCTCCCCCGTGGTCCTGTCTGCCCCTCCTCTCTTCTTCTTCCACTTCCTACCTCCCCTGGCACCATTTCCTTCTGGGTTAGTTTTATCTAATTTCCAAGCGAGGCCCCTTCACCCAACATCACCTCACTGTGGGGCTTGGACAAGGCAGAAGAGCTTCTGCAATCCCTCAGCCATGCAGTGCACTTCCTGGTAGTGCAGTGGCTGAGGACTTCTGGGAAGGCACTTAAGCGTTAGCATAACCAGGTGAGATTTGGTCCCTCCAGCCCAGGGTCACTCTATCCAGTGACTATAGTTTTACAGCTGAAAAAGCAGCTGCCCTCTGTAGCTCCTGCTCTTTTCAGCTTGCCTGCTCCCCAGACAAGTACAGTTCACACTGCTCCAGTCCTTTCAGCAAGTAAGATAAACGCTTAGGAAAGCACAAGGCAGCTTAATGGCATCACCAGACCACTCAGGGTGGCAGTCCCTAAAAAGAGGCTTCTCATGCCATAAAAAAAATTGAATCCCTCTAAGAAAAATAGTGCTGTCTTTTATTAAACCCTGCGCTATGAGGAAGATGTATGCAACTGCTTCCTGCAGTGAGCCAGCTACCTGGGCATCGTCTCCCATCTGTTACAGCTTAATTGAGCTCTTCAGTGCAGCAAGATTCCAGCTCATTAAATATATATACTAGGAAGGGATCACGTCACTTGCTTTTTTTACATGCTTATTTTGAATCTTCTAAGCCTTCAGTCCTGCCTCCTCTTCTCACCCCAGTGACCTCGACTGATGGCATACCAACACTCACACTTGTACAGTCCACCTTCCCTCCCCAGTCTCTCGCAGAGAGGAACTCGCAGCTGAGCCCATTCCCCTCATGGTGTACTTGCTGAGCACACCTGTCAGCTAACCAACCATATACTTCCTCCTACTCTGAGAAAAAGTCAGTTACTATTTAATGGTGTTGTAAATAGGAAAGTGAAGCACTTTGAAGTTTAATTTATTGCACAGTTACTGTGATGTATACATAACAGTTTTTCCTCTACAACTTACTGTATATATTCTATAGGCTAAGCAAGCAGCAGGAAGACTTAGTTGATGCATCTCTCTTCCCTTGCCGTGGCTGAGGCAGGGAGGGAGGAGGCTATCAACTGCAGACACAAGGGAAGCTCACTGCACCCTCAGTGATCTCCTTGGGGCTGTAAATTTATATTCTACTTTGCTGTTTGAAGTATCTCTAGACATATGAGAAGCCAGCAGAGTTAAGTGACTGGCCATTAGACCTGTCTTGTAGCTAATATTTGTAAAGGAATAGCCAATGCAATAAATCAGTAGCCAAGTGCTTGCAAAATTCTGTTGTGTCTGATTAGCTGTGTGTTTTGTCCGTCCAATTCCATGTGTGGATACGTGCAGCTACAGCTCTGGAGACTATAACTGAGCCACTTGCTCATCTGTTCAGCACAAAAAGAGCTGATCAGTTCCCCCACCTCAGCCCCTACCACCATAAGAGAGGGCCTGCTCTCTCCTGGAACATAGCCGAGCCTAGAGGAAAAGGGGGCGGGAAGGAGGCAGAGGGGCCCAGTTGCCCATTTCAGACACATGGAAGACACTCAGCAGTCTGTATGAATCTCAGTTATCGACTATCCCCTTCATCTCTGGGCTATGTTGTTGGGGATGGGCGTTCAGACCCAGGGCAACCTGAGGTCTCACCAGAGAAAGAGACTCCACAGCACGCACGAATCTGGCAAATTTCAAGAAACCATCTCAACCCGTTCTCAGGGAAAGTTGAAACACTCCTGCTCCACACACAACCCCAGCTGCGTGCACGAAGGTTCCTGTTAACATGTGGCCCACCGCCCTGTCCTCTGCTTCCCTGTGCTGGGGCTGCATCCTGAGGCAGGAGGGCAAAGAGCCACAGAGGGCTTCCTGCCTGACAGAGCCGGCCCGGGGACAGCTGCAAGGCACAGGGCAGAGCTTCCACTCCTTGCTCTCTGTGCCCCCACTGTCACTGTGCCCCATGCAGGCTGAGGACTAGGCTGGGATGCACCCACTGGACACAGCGATGCGGGAACGGCCCCCATCCCCACATTCCTGGAGCGAGGAGCACACAGGGAGCGCTGCAAGCAGGGCCCCACCAGCACGCATCGCTTCCTGCAGGACAAAATGGCGACGGCGCAGCTGCAAAATGTGCTGACCTCAGCAGCGGGTCGGGGCCCGCAGAGGTCCCCCTCCCCAGCGAGAGCAGCCCTGAGCAGTAAAGGCACTGCGGCCATTGTGCGGTGGGATTGGATGCTTCCATGTATTCATTTCGGTTTAATGAAGGCGCATTCCTCAGAGGAGAAATATTTACATTCAGCTTCCCAGGTGGTCACCTTCGCCCAGATGACACACAAACAGGCACCCCCCGCTCCCTTTTCCAATCCAAACCTCTTTAGAGGTCTCCAGGAGGAGGGGGGCTGCCGGGGAGCAGAACAGAAAAGGGAACAAAATGCTAATAAATCAGCCAGCCGGCCCTTTTCCCCTCCCCTCTGCGGAGTCAATGGAAAGTGTCATTTCACATGCTAATCCCCCTCCGCTCTCTTCACAACACCTTTTCCGAAAAGTGTTTGGGAAAAGTCCTTGTGGCCCGCTTACAGCTCCCTGCCGCTTCAGATTCCTTCTTGTCTAAGGCCGCGGCCCCCGTGTGGGTCTCTCCCTCCAGCAGGGCTCCATACAAAAAAAATCCCAACAAAGACTTTGGAGTTCATCAGCCTCCCACTGAAATTCACAGCTGCTGAACAAACTAATCCCCTCTCTTGGCCTTTCTTCCTTTCAATGGGTTCTTGGCTTCAAAGACACTTTGGGAAAGGACTTTGTAGGGACTCACACTGCTCCCTCAATAGAAGTTAGTGCAAGCATTATCTTCAGAGCAAGTGGCTTTACAAACAAATACTGCCTAACAATCTCTGCCCCTGCAGCTCCCCCAAACACACACAAACCTAGCCCGCAGACATGATGTTATCTGCAACAGGATTAGAGTCCTGTTCTCCATGCCCGGGGATCCCTTCCTCCTGCCTCCCCATTCTTTGTCAACCCCAAGACCTTCTCATCACCCAACAGAAATCGTTTTTTCCATGCTGGGCCGCACAGGGATGCTGCGGCAGCATGTGTACGCATGGGGGAAAGCATGGCTGCACAGTGGTACCTGCCATAGTGTTGCAACTGAAACAGTGCTTTCCAGTAGCACCTGTGAGGCAACAGAAAGCCCCAGGGCCACAGAGATGGAGGTCTCCCACCAGCCTCCCCTCTGGTCACCTCACTGCCTGGTTTCCCTAACAAATTTTAGAGATGGAGCTCACCTGAAGGAGAACCGAGCAACAGTGGGACAGAGGGGACAAGAAAGGACTCACAGCAAAGGAAGGATAAAGAGCCGGCCTCTGCATGAACCCATGAGCAGCAGGAGCAGTGCATGCAGGAGGAAACTGAAGTCCAATGCATCCAAGAAACACACGGAAAAAAAAAAATCCTTACTTCTTAGTGTTACAGGCAGCCCCACAAGAAGCAAAAGGGCTGGGCTGCACAGGTGCTACAGTAAAGTCCAGACTGGCAGAGTCTACCAACTACCAGGTTTGTTAAATTACCGCAAAATGCCTAAGAACATTCCTTGTATACTCACTAAGCAAATGGATGTCACTGGCTACCTGCTTGCTTGTTCAGCAAGAGAGGGGTCACAACGTAAGTGCAGTCCTTAATCATCAGCCTGCACCCCTCTGACAGGGGAGAGCTGGGAGGCAACACTGGCTGCTAACTGCTCCCACTTGGCTGCTGCACCTCTGCAAGTGTCCCTGACACTGGGAGCAGAAATAACAAAGGCTGTTTTTCCCTGAATGCATGTACCGTCACTCTAATACCCTAAGAGCCTCATAAGCTCTGCTCCCTTCCCCGCAATGGATCTTCAAATTTTTCCCATCCAATCTTTTTCAACTTTTACTACTTACAAGCCCTCCAGCCACAAGCTGTGTAATACAGCCCTGAATGTTTCGGTTTTCTGCCTCCTGATGGCTGGCCTGTACAAGCATACTAGCTAACCACCTAGCAGCATATATACAGATTACATCATTCTCTCCACTTTATCTCAGTACTGCTGTTCCACTTCAGCCTTCTCACATCCTTAAAAGATTACCTGAAATCAGCCAACAGATTTAAAAGTTATTAACTAAAGGCAGGGATTGACAGTTCAGCAGCATACATTTGATTTCTGCAAATCAGGTCAGATCAGCATGCTAATTTAAGCATAACTGCTTCAGTGGCATAACAGTGACTTCCAACAGGAGAGGATCTCATCAAGGGCTCTTTACTTACTGATGCCTTTCCAACTCCTAAAGTGAAGTATAAAATCTCCAACACCACTGTGAAACTCTAGGGCAACTCCAGCCATCTCACGGACCCTCCTGTGCTTGACACAGATGGATAGTCACAGCTGAGGACGGTCACTGAAGAACAAATCTCTGGCCCTGCAGGCCCAGTAGCAGGTAAGGCCTGAAGTTTCACCACACCAGGATGTTTGCTGCCCATACCAGCAGAGCCCATGTTCTGGTTTGCCCCATACTATTCAAAATCTGCTCCCCCAACCCAAGCTGAGAACTCTGTGGGTAACCCTGAAAACTGAGAGGAACAGCCCTTTAGCCAGACGACAGGCAACTGCCTTCAGATCAACGCTATGAAAAAAACTAGCAGCATCACAAAACACAGCTTTTATTTCACTGTTCTGTAATCTCTCAGTGCATCAAACTGCAGTAATAGAAACAGAACAAAGCAGCAACAAGGAGGCACTTTGACCTGGAAAGGAGAGAATGAGATGTAGCCTCTCCCTCCCTTCTCTGATCCCTCTCCCTCCTAAGTCTCATGGTAGCACAGGCTGAACTGTGTAAGTCACTGAACCACAGACTCATGATAACATTATCACTCAAGCAGCAAGCAGAGGAAGCAGGGGCTGGCTGCAGCCAAACACTGAGAAGAAGCCTCGCTCCCAGCTAGGGTCCAAGGACTGCACTGCCTGGTTAGCATGAAAGAGAGGAGGGCGAGGAAGGAGGAAAAGAAGGAAAGACGCACATGGAAGTGCCCTAAAATCCCATCTGCTTTCCCAGACTTCTTCCACAGGACAGGCATGCTTCATTCACTTATTTTACCCCAGAGGAAATGCCACAGTAATGGAAAGTGTCAGTACAGCCGTGTCCTTGGGATCTAAAAATGCCATCTACTGCAGCACATTTCTACTATCATGTCAGGAGGCTTCTCTTTCTGCTCAAGTCTGGGCTGGTCTTTAAGGGACCTGCAACCTCTGTTGCTTCTGAAGCCCTAAGACTGCCTGGAAATCTCTAGTAAGGAAACCTTTAAACAACATCAGTTAGCAATAAGCCCACTGTGCTAACACAGAGGAAGTGAAAAAGGCCAGCCAGCACAGCTTTTAGCCCAAACAAGGCTGCTGGCTCTGGGGAGGAGAATACAGAGCATCCCAATCTGCTTGCATTCCTGTATGGGAGAGTCCCAGGAACCAGAAGGGGGGGGCTTGGAGGGGGGCTAAAACAAAGGCTCAAGCCTTCAGCTTATGGGAGAGGAAAAAGGATACTGGAGGAGGCTGTCTTCTGTTTACTTTCTATGAAAAGAGGACTGGGTGAAGAAGAGAGAGAGAACCAAAGCTAGCCCAGAGTAGGCTGGCAGATAACTTTAGCTGTAGAACATATCAGAGCAGAGGGACAAGAGATGCAGAGATTAGAATGAAGATAAAGGAGGAACCAGAGGAGAGATCCTGACTGCAGCCCACTGGAGCAGAGCACCCCAGCTTAGGTCCCAAAAGAGGCAGCTGTCACTGAGGCAGCAGGGAGCAGAGCCTGAGGTGTCAGCTGTTTGTCTCCTATACAAAAGCAGTATCAACCTGGAAGGAGTTTCCCCTTTGTGCTTGGGGAACAGGGAAAAGGAGTCTAACACAGAGCAGTCCTTGGGGATCTCTGTGCTACCTGAACACCTGAAACTCAGAGTCCTAGGCTGGGAAGTGGACTTGAGGGGTATGTGTGGGGATACAGAAAGAGAGAGGGAGGGAGACAGAGAGCAGACTCCAGGATATCCAGACTCCTGGCTATCTGGAGAATAGATGGGGCCAGGCATGCCGGTCCAGCACAGTTCCAGACGCCGACTTATTTCTCCAGAGTCAGAAGGAGAGTCCACAACCTGCAGCGCATCGACAGGTGAGAGTCCAGCAGCTCAGAATGTGCATTGTACCAGCTGTTCCACATGTTACACATTCAGCTTGCCAGCAATGGTCATGAGGACTTTCAGGACAGGCATGAAACCAGACACTTCACTGAAACTGCTGCTGCTCACCACTTGGGTGTGAACCATGAGACCCTGTTGGTAGTTCCTAGCTTCAATGCAGCGGGCAATTTCATGGAGACCCATGAGGATAGCTGGAGAGAGCTGTGGGGAGAAGCAGAAGTGAGTCAGCATCCTTAGTGCTGTGAGACAAAACCCCAATTCTCTGCACAACACTCCCCTCCTGCTCTCTACCTGATCCTCACCAAATGCAGCACCTACAAAGCCAGGCATTGACAGGAGGGACAGCACACCCCATCCCTCAGTTTCCTAGCCCATAGTAAACATTAATCCAATACCTAGGTTAAGTTATAGTTAACACAGGTCCTATGTAATGACACTTCAACATTAAATGAATATCTGATGTATTTGAGGAGATCAGTGGTCCATCTAGCACAGAATCTCATCTCTATTCAGGCATAAAATGGACACTCACAGAAAAGATATATGTTATAAAAGTTCTTCCCTTGATTGATAACCCTCCAGAAATTGGCATCAGCAGCATCCTCTTAGATGAAGGATACATTAGGTTCATAACTACCCCCAGAACATTCCTTTACAAATGTTCCTCCCCATCTAGAACCTATACATACACACACACCTCCCAAGTGTACTTCCTGGGAGGAAAACCACCCTACAAACAGTCCCTCACAGCTCTTCCTTACTCTATTTCTGGGCCAAGGTTAAGGAAGAAAAATAGCTAAATTTGGCTGGAATCAAAGAGCATTATAAGGTTTTGCAATCCCTTTGCTTTCTTAAGAGGGTATGCAGTGGAAATACTGGAACAGACACCAGGGCCCACAGCACAGTTCAGAAATGGGATCAAGAAACCTTGATAACAAATGCAGGCATACACTTACCGCCTGCTCACGGAGTTTGTCATACAACGTCTCCAGCCGTTGCAATGCATCTTCTAGCTTCCTTCGAGTTTTCTAAAGTAAAACAGACATTGCTAGCTCAGACAGGGCTTCAAACACACTATTCCCTGTATCAGGTTGCTCTTGTTCAGGTCTCACCTCAGCACCCTGCAATTTCAGTGGCATCTCAACCTCTATCAGACAGTTTACAGCCAGAGACTGTGATACAAACTGGCCATATCCTTGCTATGCACATATATGTGCATGCATTCTCTCCAAAACAGGAGGCTAGATTTGTCCCATTTTCTGCCTCACAGCCAAGACATTTGTCCCTTCTAACAGTGCCTTCAGACTACATAACAGAACAACTACTTCCAAAGCTGGGGAGATGTTCATTAACTGACCCACTGGACATTCAGATAACCTCACCATGCTTCACCTAAGCAGAAGCTTAGAAGCAGAAACCCCAGTCCCCTTGAGGAAGGGAGGAAACATTTTTCCTACTCTAGGTAACCACCAAGAAAAGGGTCTGAGTATTGAAGATCTGGTTGCTCCACCTTGGATAATCCACTCAAAGGTACATTACGCTGTGGATAGAAATGCCTAGCTCTGGTCAACACTGAGACATGGCTGGCAGGCTTAGGAACTCAGGTGTATTGCATTGCTCTAACAATCCAGCCACTCAAATTCAATGTCAGCTTAAGAGCTTCAGACTATTAAGTCCAAACCATAGGTTTTCTATCCCTAGAGGGAACACTTTCCAGGAGATGAGCTGGAGAAGTTACAGTGACTCAAACACAATGCTTGTATGGCTTTCTCTTTCAGTGGATCTTAGCCTTTCCCACTGAGCTCTGAGAGCTTGTACTGACAGCCATTCTGCAGTAACTACCTATGCATCAAAACCATGGAAAAGGAAGCTAAATTAGCTGGGTCATTTCTTCTGCTTTCCTCAAAGAGCTAGGAGTACAGAACCATTGCTTCAGAGAGGTAAAAAGAGGTAGGGGATAACTGTTAGAGAACTCATCTCAGATCCCATGAGATGGACAAGACCATGGCCTAAAGGAGTGAGGCAAATGGAAAATAAGCTGGTTATGTAAAGAAGCCTCTTCCTCTCTTAGGCTGAGAGACACATCAGTCAAACATCAGTGAGGACAAAGCAGCCAAAGACCAGAGAAAAGAGGACTTACTGGATCAGTGGCAACAGCAGAACAGCGTTGCACCAACCCTTCAAGTGTTGTCTTCAGACCCTGGTGTTCAGGGGGCACCTCCTTCTTCTCAACTCTCTCTGCAGGTAGCTGGTGATACTGACAGAGAGAAACAGATGAATAAATACAACAGGAGCACAAAAGGCAGGAAGTATGGAAACTCCTCTCCTACAACTATGAACAGGAAGAATTTCACCTCTGGCAAATTCAGAGAATATCTGGAAGCACAGACTACAGAATAGTTTCAGGCCTCTGTGGATTCCCACTTTTCAGAAGGCTGACAGTCTGTCTTAGCCTGCCTCCCTTCTAGTCACAGACAGGTGTCATTTTCAACCCTGGTAGCAATTCTAGCAATTCCTCTAGCACTCAGGCAGAAATGTTTTATAAGGGCTGAGAAGCAGGCACATAAGCCCTGCAGCTGCCAAGAAATAAGCATCTCAAAAGCCAAGACATTTTTGTACTTGACAAGGAGCTGGTGGCTGGGAAACATCACACTTCCCCTTGATACCTGCAGGCTGCTTTCCTTGGGTGCTCCTGGGGGTGACTGGCCAGATTCTTGCAACCTAGAGAGCTGAGGATGGATCCCTTGGGGCTCAGTGGGCAGGCTCATTACTGGAGCTGTGATGGGAGCTAGAGGAGCAAATTTCTCAGGCAGCTGTCAGAAAAACAAGAGAGATTAAAGACAAAAGAAAAGAAATCTGTGCTGAAAACAAAAATACAAGTCCAAGGAAAGAGGGCTGGTTACTCTCTCCACAATCAAATTCCACTTCCTTTCTAACTTTCAGAGAGCTTAGTTCTCAAGACGTGTAACACATCTCTGTTCTTTCAAGCCCCCTCAAGAGCATGGGGCCCTTCCTCTTGCATCCTAGATGAACAGTCAAAGCAACAGCAAGAAAACCACTCTGGAATTGTTCAGTCAAAGAGATCCGTTGCCCCTGAAAGCACTGGTCCTCAGAAAGCCGCCTTGGCTCTGCAATGGCACGAGTCCTGAATGTAGAGATTAGCAGCAGTAAAGTGTCCAGCAGAGCAAGAGCTGGGGAAAATCCCACGACATGGGGCGAGAATCCTCTTGCAAACACTTCATCA